TGACATTCAGTTTGTAAATAGTTCATTCACAGGAGTAAAGTATCTCCACTTTCAGTAATCACATTACCCCACCACAAACTGACTATTAAAAATCTTATTTTCAATTTTCTCTAAGGGTTTTATTTTCCTATACAGCCAAACATTTCTGCATAAGTACTGTCTCTCTATAGAAAAAAAAAAAAAAAAAAAAAACAAGAAAAAAAAGGAAAACATAATGAGAATCTCTTTACATTCATCAGACCACAGGGCACCTCTTACTGTTTCATCTGGCCAGAAAGATGAGTTTTTATCAGCCCCTGCTGTACCAGTGAAAATCTATGACCAGAGAGAAAGAATAAAGAAAACAGTGACCTACACCCCTACTCCTGCATTCACAGTTGTCCCTTTCCCCAGCCTTTTCTCCAAAAGAAAGGATAACTTTTGATGTGTGTGTGTGTGTGTGCGTGTGTGTGTATATTTTTCATACCCATTGAACTCTTGCTTAATTTGGGCTTTCCACAGGTCACGTATGAGAGATAAACATGCCACACAGTCTTTTAACACTGTTCCTGCCTTTGGAATCAAGAGATTCACATTTTGCAAGTTTTTATGTATTCCAAGAGTATTTCAGGCTCTTTATGAAATACACAGTCAAGCATCCTTCTGCAAGTATGCTGTGTAAAAACACATAGTTTTACAACTCTCATTGACTATACTCTGTTCTGGTTTTTTAGACATCTCTTATTGTATATAAATATTCTTCAAAAACTGTTTTGCTTCATTCATTTTTTTTATTCACAACACATCTTTCTGAAAATGTTAACATTATATTCTCACATTCAAATTAGATTTGGTATTGTGGCATTTCTTTTGATGACGATCTATGCCTTCTGAGAACAAGGTGGCAGGTGTTTCAGCTGTTCTTTCTGCTAGTGGAGGTGAAATAACTCAGACTCACAACACCCTCACAAGTGGGGGTTTCTCTCAGACTTGAGCTTGGTGATGGGAGCCTCAGTGATTTTTTTAGTGACCTAAAATCACAGCATCCTCTTTCTTGTTTGATACTTTCTTCGTGGAGGACATAGCTTATTTGGTGGATTAAATAAATTGCGAATTCATTATACATAAACAGGTCAGTGAGCAAGCCTTAAGCAGCATGATAAGATGTGGGAGAAAATAGATAATTAGTGATGGTACCGAGGGGGGTGCAGCTGGCTTGCCTCTGAGATGCACCACAGTGTCTCCTGTAAAAGCACAGAAGCAGTTCTCCATTGGGCATCAGACAGGGCTCGGCTCTCCCTTTCACTGTGGAAGACAGACACAGCTGTCCCTACTTGGTGCTTTGTTCCTTTACCTGTGGACTTTTCTGGTCAGTAAGCAGTGACCTAGGGATAGTAGAATGGCTGATTTGTCTTTATCAGCTCTCCTCAGTGTGGGTTTATCCCTTTGAGTGTTTACCTGTTTATTAAAGAATCTGTATCAGGAGATGCAATCAGCCATAAGCTTT